CCCGCCTCGGCCTCCCAGAGTGCTAGGATTACAGGCGTGAGAGCATTCATATTTTTTAAAGATGCATATGAAATGCTATGAGTGGTTTACTAATTATTATACTTTAAAATATTTCAACAACAAGAAAAAGGGGATAAAAAAAGCAAGGATAGCAAAATGTTAAAAAATATTGAATGTAGGTAGGTAAATATACACACATACACACACACACACACACATAGGAGTTCATTATTCTAGTCTACTTTTGTGTATATCGAAAAAACTTTCTAAACGAACAATTTTGTTTCAGAGCTTTCATTCGTTGGGCACCTGCTGAGAACCAATGGTTGTGTTAAGGGCTCCGTGTACATTACCTGCTGAATCTTCACAACAGCCTAGGGGGCAGGTGCTATTGGTATCCCCACTTAATAGCTAAGAAAACCAATGAAATAACCTCCCCTTTGGGGTGGAGCAAACAGGTCTGCCAATCACTTGTTATCTCAGCAAAGCTTCAGAGGCCACATAGATGAAAGACGTCTACATTTTCCATTTCATAAAACATTTTTACAGATCGGCTACAGCACAGGCTGGAGGGCAGTCCCCGAGCATGGGGGAGACGTTGGTAAGGTACGAGAATAGAGAAAAGGAGTTGACAGGCAGGGGACAGAGGGTAAAAGAGGACCAAGGGAACCACTGAAAAGCAGTAAGAGGGGAGAGGGAAGCAGGAACAGCGAGTGGGAAGGATGAGGTGCCAGCGCATGGATGGAGTCACAGGAGGGGCAGAGGGAACAGAGAACAAAGAGGAAGGCGTGCGCTGGACCCAGACCTGGAGTGTCAGGCAAGAAAACCCGAGTGTCAGACAAACTTACTCCAACCACGGCCCACCCTCCACTCTTCCCCAATCCCTAATACCAGGCAAAAGTGAGAAGGCCACAGAGAAGAAAGAGGGAGCAGACATCAAACAGAGACGCGTTATATGTAATAGACAGCTCCGCCAAAGCGCAATTACAGACGGGTGCCCTGGGCTCGCTCCCCACGCCTCCCATCAGTCTCTACGCTTCCCCGCGACCATGACCTTCCAACTCTGAACTCAGCTTCTCCGGACCAGTGCCAAGCTCACAAATTAAGAGAAGGAAAGAAGAAATTATTCATTTAAACAATTTTTGATTTTATCAGCTTAAGTGAGATGAAATTCACAGCCCATCTGTGCCCAGGAAGGCTGACCTCACCTCGGGGAAGAAGCCGTGCAGCTGAAGCTATGGCGCGGGGCTGCGTCAGCGCCAGCAGGCGCCCCGGTCAAAGGCTCCCACAGCCAGGGTTAGGTAAGGCTTTAATCCAAACGATGGAAAACTCAGGTTTGGGGCGCTGTATGTGTGTTTGGGGCGATGGTAGACAGGAAAGGAGTTACAGAAGGGAGAGAGAGGAACAGAAAACACGAAGGAAGGAAGAATCGTTGATGCATTTCAGAAATTGCAATGAGAGCTGCAGGGAAAGGCAGGTTGATCACCATCTTCCAGTGACGTCATAACTAACAATAGGGAACTACTCACTCACCTCGTGTTAAAAAAAAATCCCTTACTTTCACAGCACATTATTCATAGTGGCCAAAAAGCAGAAACAACCCAAACGTCCATCAATTGGTGAATAGATAAACAAAATGCAGTCTATCCATGCAGTGGAATGTTACTCAACTATAATAAGGGATGAATTTCTGATCCATGGTACAACCAGTTCGGACCTTAAAGACGGGCTGAGGGAAGCCAAACACCAAAGGCCACAGAGTATATGATCCCTTTATGGGGAATGTCCTACACCGGCAAACCCATAGAGAAAAAAAGAGATTAGTGGTTGGGGAGTGGGGAACAGGGATTGACGGCTATTGGGTACAAAGTTTCTTTTGGGGGTAATGAGAATGTTCTGAAACATTTTGTAAACTGTGTTCTAAAACACTGTGCAGATGGTTGCACAACTCTGTGAATCCACTAAAAGTCACTCAACTGTCACTTTCAATGGGTGGATTTTATGCTATGTGAAATATATCTCAACAAAACTGTGAAAAGATAAATGTAAAAGGTTTTCACTGTGAAACAAATAGATAAATAATTCCTTTTTCCCTTCCCTCCTAGAGATAAGGAGCTTCTCTCTCTTGTTATCGTGGGAGTTTTGTTTTCTGGGTTTTAGTACAAAAATCAAAGGCAAAAGAGAGCATTTATGTGGATGGGAGTTCAACAACCACCATGAAAATAAGGAGAAGCAGTGACAACTAATGAAACGAAAGCCGAATCCTTTTCAGTTATCTGTTCCCCACCCAAATCCTGAGGATCAGGATGAGATTTCTCTGCGTGGGGAAGGCCATTAGCTTTCCACACCTTTTCCTCCAGCACCTATGGGCGACACTTCACATCTGCTTCTCCAAATCACTTCCATCACCTTTCCACTGCTGTACTTCACGGTCTCCAAAAAAGCTCTACCTACAGAGGACCGCCTTCATAGACTGGCTAATTTTTGTAAACGATTAAATAATAAAAGTGGTTTACCAAAACACAAAGACTTTTGCACCAGTGTCTACTTAACTTGAATAAAAAAGAACATCTTAACTCTTTCTTTAAAAATCTAGCCAGGTCTTACTGGGTGATCTCTACCTTTTATACTCACTCTTTCCTTTCCAGTAGTCTTTGAAGCATTATGAGAGCAGAGGAGGAGAACTGGGAATCGGAACAAGTCACTTCACCTCTCTGTGTGTACATCTCCTCGTCCGCAGATGAAAGAGCAGCCTAGAACCTTCTGGCAGAACACTCCGTCTCTAAGGGGTCTATCGTTCATGTATAATCACGGAAACAACTGCGCCCACAAACAGACTTCTAGAGAACTTTAATTTCTTGGAATTTTAATGAAGTAATTTTCTCCAGCAATAAAATAATTTAAAAACTAAAACACATAGCTCCCCAGCAAACCATCTCAGTAACGGTGGGATGCAAACAAGGCACGAACAAAGGAAAGACGCATCCTATTTCCTTACATTCAGTGATGCTGATTTCATGTAAAAACCCAAGAATTACCCGTTTATCTCATCACCACGGGCAGATTAACACCATGGCTAGCTGGCAGACCACATAATGAATCCTACCCTGGCTGAGAATAAAATATTATTTAAGAAATTTTTTGGAGAGCAGGAACTGTTCCTGAGAATGAAAAAAAAAAAAAAAAAAAAAAAAAAAAAAGAATGTGGATGATAGCTCTTATCTAACCCTGCTGACCATCACCTCTAAACACACGGCCAGCTTTTCAGAAGGCAGATGCCAATATAACACCCTATGTCTTCATAGGCCTTGAAACTAAGGCAATTCCTATGCAATTCTAATTTCTTCAGGCACTAACTGCTGGGTAACTCCAAAGCACTCCTACACAACAACATGTCTGCCAGCTCTGGCCAGAGCTGGGGCTCAGCCAGTGAGAGATGGGTGCCTGGCCCACATGTACACGTATCATGGGGCCAGGGGTCCTTGTGACTGCTGAACAGACACTGTTATTCCTGGAGCTACAGGAGTAAGAGTAACCGATGTGGTCCTGGCCAGAAAAAAGGGCACACAAAAGCCATAAACCCGTGGAAACTGATGAGATCAAGTAACCCAGCTCCACGCTTTGGAAGGAAATTGCCAACCATAGAGTGGAATAATGTTTCTGAAGACCACGCCAACTCCCCGTGGCCACGGGAGGCACAAGGGCAGTTTGGGAAGCTGAGGCCCTCAGACAAGCTCAAGTCCTGAAGGAGGGCGGTGGAGACACATCAGCTATTAAGGGGGGGGCCACAGAGAGAGAGCTGCTTTTGCTTACCAAACACCCAATCCTTTGATTGGGGCAACCCTCTAAACCACCATGAGACTCAGAGTCACACTAGCCAGTTTCCCAGTAGCTTATTCATAAGATACACCACTGGGAATATGAGTTATCATTAAGAACCTCATTGATTGCATGAGATTTCCTTCATCCCCAGCTGTGGCTATAAAGGATTTAAAGCATTAGGGCTGCATTTACATGTCGCTGTCGTATCACCCAATTTCACTACTAAAGTTACAGTACGCAAAACGTGCAAGCAGGACTTACCGATTTTCTGATTGAAAATCTTGTCAAAGGTTATTTCATTTCTCTCCTCGAGATATTTCTGCATCACACTCCGGATACTGAAAGGGAAGAGAGACACATGTTTAACAATACAGCCTGCATCGCGACTAACTGTCCCCAGAATGAAAAAGATGCAGATGCTTGACTCAAGGATATTGACTTTATGAGGGACATCCTCTTGCCGACATCTGTGACCACATGAAACGGCGGACTAGACCAACAGCTGGAAATGTCACGGCCTTAGCCACTGTGCTCTCCTGCAACACGGGGCCAACCCGACATGTAGAGACTCAACTACAGAATAAGGACTTCGAAAACCCACCTTGAATACAATCACTCTCCCAAATATGCACACGCCACATACCCCCCACACACAATCCATACACGCGACAAATTCTGCTAATCAATCAATAAGTTTCCTTCTAAAACAAAGGTAAAAGTTCCCTAGACATATGATTGATACTCGAAAAATCATATTTCTATACACCAATAATAAACAATGAGAAAACACAATTAGAAAGAAGACTCCACTTGCAATAAAATAAAAAACATCAAATACCTTGAAATTATTCTTCCAAATTATGGGCAAGAACTTTATGGAGAGAATTACAAATTGAACTGAGAAACATTAAGAAGATTTAAAGAAATGGAAAGATACACCACAGTTATGAACAGAAAGATTTAATATTGTAAAAATTGAAAGTTTACCCAAATTTATCTATAAAATCAATATAAATCCCATGAATATCCCAACAGGGTTTTTCATAGAACATAGAAACAGAAAAGCTCTTTCTGACATTTATACAAAACAGTCAGACATGGTGGCT